AAATCATGGGAATTGGATGTTGGATCAACAAACCAAATTACCCACTAAACATGCTAGGTACCAACAATTTAAAACTTTACGGCATAACCCACTATAGCAACCCACACACCAATAAATGATGATGAATGGAAACAAGTCTCAAGCAAAATCCAAAACACCATAGCACTTTACAAATTTAGCTCAACAATAATTTTTGCTAGGTCATCTATAATTAATAGGTACGTCATCCAAAAAAATTACCTATATAGCCACGGCTAAAACAACCCCAAAGCCAACAATTAAACATCTGAATAAAATCTTTAGAGAGTACATATTTCAGACCACAATTGCAAACATTAGCCACAACACGTTAGTTCAAAACAAACTTTATGGAGGAATAAACCTGCACGATATACAGACCAAAATCAATGCATTCAGACTAACACACATTAGCAGAATAATTAGCCAAACAAACTTTCACCCTCTAGCTCTCTACAATATAGGCATTCCGCTCAACAAACTTACAAAAATCAATTAAAAAAAAAACCTCTCAACCCCACTATACAACAGAATTCAATGGTGTAGGAAATACACTCTAACAGACACAATAGACACCTTTAGGAACCTACACCTCAAAACCATCACACCCAAAGCCAGGGAAATAACATACAGACTCATCTACAAATCAACACACCTAGCTAAACAACAGAAACCCTTTTGCCCACTATGCAGACAAAACACACCCGAAACCGAAACGCACATCTATTTAGAATGCCCCACCATACAAAACATGAAAAAGACGCTAGAAACCAAAATAACTAAAAACGAGACCTTCAATCTCGATATAGTTATAACTTTAAACGAAATCCCAAAACAAAGAGCCAGGGCGGACCTAGAGCAAACAGCAAGGACGGTAGCTATATATAGACAGACTATTTGGAACAGTAGAATAAAAGCAAAACACGACAAGGTACAGTTCACGGGACACGTACTAGACTTGATTTACCGTAGACGACTCTACAATGACAGCACTCAAACACATATACCATAATTAGCAACACCCTAACGTAACGAACATATTACACGGCATTTGCCACCTGGCCCGCCTAATCTAACCGACACATCCCCTTTCATCACACCCTCCCCGCCCATAAACTTCATGATCCCAATATCATTTTGCCCCCATTACTGCATCCCCTTCGTCCCCACCCCTTTGTTGAAATACTATGTTAAATACTGAAGACGATGTATTATCCAAATACATTTCTAACAACATAAATTTGACTCCCACCCCCACAACCACCATGTCCCCACCTTGTTTCGCATCATTTATCATTTGTCCTTCAGTTTCCCATTGTTGCTTATGTGTGTATTGTTTTATTTATACAGCTTACAAACAAATATTGTAAAGTCAACATTTGAACCTATTTTACTATTATCATTTACGTACGTTACTTTGGTCCACAAAGTACAAAATGACCCCAATGACCCCTACTACTTTTGTATTCATTTTATTACCCCCACATTATTACTTACAGTTGTTTTGTTAACTTAAATAACTCTTTTATGAGAACACTGTTAACCAATTTTTGACCTTTAAAGCTCCACTGTATCCACACACCCCGTGATAGCTACACGCCTACCCACCCCTAACCTGTCGGTACTAAACATCCAAATAAACATAAACACCGACTTGAACATACCAACCTTTCACCCTCCCGCTAAATCGCTCACACAGCAATCTATTCGTCAAACCCTGCCCCCCCCCCCCCCCCACCCACACACACTATAAAAAATAACCCAACATTCCCTTTAACTGTTCCAACGATTTTACCACCCACAAAAACATCATTTTCGAATATCCATTCATTTACTTATTTAAAGTTCTAAATCTTGCTTCTTTCCCGTCATCTTTCACACAGCAACCTTTTGAAAACTTAATGCGACCAGTACATAAGTAAACACTCTTTCAACTAGTCAACATAATTTGTTCCCCTACATAGAAAATACTTCACTGTCCCATTGACCATCTTTGAACAATTTTCTTTCCACTCCCCACCAGGACTCCTGACACTTTCATTTGACCTTCACCCCTTTTACTGTCATCCTTTGCAATTTATTTATAATCATTTACATGACAACATGTAAATATTCATTCTGTACATTTGCAAAACCTTTTGTTTTCATTTGATTTGTTTTAATTGCAAATAAAAGTATTAAAATAGAAATTTTTTTGTTTTATATAAGCCCAACATGCCGTTTAAAAAATCCCCTGATCCACCATTTACGTATTTGCATTTGCAGGTTTAATAATAAAATTGTAATTAGACGTTTTGTATTAGATCTATGTAAAAAAAAAGGAATATAACTATTCTGTATCAGTCCTCAAGCCGATGTTGAAAACAAATACTAAGCTAACATGGCAAGGCAAACTGACGCTGTAAATTACATGTCTGAGGCAAAAAAAAATTGAAAGTATAATCAATAGAGACCAAAATATAGCAGACATGGACGTACAGAATCACACACACCTACAAAGAGACATAATTTTATATTCTACTCCTAAGAACACACGGCAATCCGAACAGTATTTACTCCGGAATTTTTTCTCCGGGGGGGGGGGGTGTGGCACTTGATATTTTTTCTACATTGGGGGGGGGGGGGGGGGGCGGACACTAGTAAAAGTATATGTTTACTATATAAACTCCATCTCGTTCGGAGGGGGGGGGCGGTAGACTCTCTTCGGGGGGGGGGGGGGTCGGAGAGGGCTTCGCTCTCTTGAAGAGATGCCTGGAAGAAACTGAAGTATATAGATCTACCTGCTGAAAGCCTTTGATAGAGCAGATCGTACATGGTTAATGAAAACAATAGACGAATACAACCCCCCCTAGGGCCCTGCTTTAAAACATGGATTAAAACCATCTATGCAGACTCCTGTTAATAGATAACACAGTAACCACAGCTAATCAAATTAAAAAGTCCGTTTGACACGGCTATCCGTTATCCCCATTAATCATTATTCGTTACCACATACTCTAGTTCAGTGGCGTAGCGAGGTCGGGTGTGACCCGGTGCGACACTTAATGGTGTCACCCCCTCAGAGGCGCAGCGACTATTTCCCCGGGGACAAACTTTCAATTTTTCGATTTGCACCCCCCATCAAATTTTTCTCTATATATTTTACTATTTTTTGCCTTTGTGTCACCCCCCTAAATGGTGTCACCCGGTGCGGTCCGCCCCCCCCCCCCTTACTACGCCTCTGCCCTAATGGTAGGGCATCAGTCTTAGGTTGAGAGATAGTTTTCTCATATTTCTGTAATAAATAACGGGTGTGTTATTTTTTAAATTGCTATTAATGTTAAATCGTAAAGATCCTTCTCTTTTTTATTTTTTTTTTAAATATCAACCATGCACAGTTTATTTAATAGCATGCACAATATATGTCGAATTATGCTCTTCTTATCAGAGCTAATGAATTAAGGGGAAAATAAAAAAGCAAAACATAGGTTTTAAATATCTATATATTATTATATAATTCTCTTCTTCGAGTCGTTAGAAAACAAGCTGCAAACGCTCTCCCTACCTCCCCACCCCTACATGGTTTTAGTGAGCTGTGTTCACTCTAAATGTTTACAAGCAGAGCCAACGATTTTAAACGTAGGGGGGGGGGAGGAGGGGGGGAGGGAAGGAAGGGGGGGGGGGGGTTATGGTCCTTAACGAGCTACTTATAGTGTTTTAAAGAAATATTTTCAGTGTCAGCGTTGGTACTGTCGAATTCACAAATTATGAATTATTGAAAATTAGAAACAACTAAATAGCGGCGTATGTTATGCCGCGGGCCGGCTCGTAAAAATAAATTAAACGCCTAGACGTTCAATGATAAAAATTGAACATCTATCAAGGAACAGGCTTTTAAAATTGAGTTATACCGGCATATACCTATGTCTACACCAACCCAAATTTATATTTTATTTTGAGTGCATTTTTTACTTTCTCGTATATACGTAGTATTGTAATCGTGCAAAAAAAAAATCGAGATTTTTGCAAATCTCTACGTTTTACACATCACTGATACGGAAAAACATAATTTTGCAATCTTGTCCGTATGTCTGTGTGTCTCTGTGTGTGTGTGTGTAAACACGATTACTTGAGTACCGTTATAGCTAGGTTGATGAAATTTCATATATAAGTATTATACAAAAATCGTAGATCCGTATCAACTTTTGAGCGATTTCCGATAACCGGAAGTAGTACCTTTTCTACTTTGAATTTTTCAAAAGCCTATAACTTGAGTACTATTTCAGATAGATAAATGAAATTTCACATGTAAGTAAAGGATCTAATTTTCTACATTCTATTAAATTTTGAGTAATTTCCGTTGACGGAAAGTACTAATTTACGCTATTTCCGTTTTCTCAAAAACGCATCTAAATTTATAAAGTACTAATAATATTGCGCACCATTATGAACATCTTTATTCGGCGTTTGCTTGGTGTGCAATACTTTTTTCTATGAGATTCTATTTTATTTTAAAAAGTTTATGTATTTAAAATGGATTAAAAATCATAACTATATCCCGAGTTCCCACCCCCTGTTGTTTTATATAAGAATATTCGAGAAAGTTTAGGGGAGATCACTCCCGGTTTATTTTATATAATAAACAAACTTTTCCCTACAAAATTGACATTTTTAAGTAAGATTTTATTTTCTATTATTAGTCATTATTTCGTAAAGAAGTTGAAAGTACATAGGCCAAGACTAAAAGAAGACTAAAATCCGCCCAGTAGCTTGTTATCTCTAAAATAGTCACTTGCTCTATAATATTTCGGGGTCGATAAAATCAGCTAACTGTAAACAGAACAGAGTTAACCCACGTCGGAACTCTAATCAAGCAGTGGCTAGTTTTTTTTCAAAATCTTTTTATCTTTCTTTTTATTATTGAACCTAGTAATTATTAAACTAAATTTTAATGACTAATTGTCTATCATCACATTAGATTAAAATTCAATATTCTTGCATTGTCATCCAAGATTTACCACTGTGTCAAATGCCAGCTCAATCTAACAATGGAAAGTGGATTAAATTAAAAATTTGCAGAGCCACACACTCATAATGAGTAAGCTAAATAAAATTCTATAGGGGTCATCCATAAATGACGTCAAGCTTTTTTGACGATTTTTACCTCCCACCCCTCCATCACACATCGTCACAAAAAGCCAGACCCCCCCCTAAAATGACGTCACACCACAGCCTACAACCCCCCCCCCCCTTAAAATTGCAGTTGAATATTTCTTAAAACATCGATATTTTTTCCAAAATCTTGTCTGAACTCAAAATAGAGTATTTTAATCAATTCCTATTGCGAAATAACGTCTAAAATTCGTTTTCCAACATCTCTTTTTTTAATAATTCAAAAGTGTGAGGTCGCACCAATGGACGACCCAATACAATACAAGCATAAAGTATAATTATTCCTTCCTACCTGATATAACATTAGCCATACTTGACCATCTGTTTCTTAATTAAACATGGTAAAATATTCAAGCGTAATTTGATACTTATTGTATTAGTTGACATATTAACTTAAGTACCTTTGGGTATAACACTGAAATGCCTGAATTTAGTAGACGCTCGATGAGTTGTTTGTCATTACTGCTGATCTTACCGAAAAATGCCCATTGCAACATTTCTAAAAGACAAATTAAAATAAATCTTAATGAGAGGTTTGGATTGATAAGAACATTGAGACAATAAAATATATATTTAGAGAACATTAACTTGCATATATATATATATATATATATATATATATATATATATATATATATATATATATATATATATATATTAATGTGTGTATCTTCTAATATATAAAGTTAAATTCAGTATGTTTGTTTGTAAAATGTTTGTCGTGGATTACAAAGGAATATAAGAAAAAACGAAAAAAAAAACGATACTCCGATGGATTCAAGTTGTTAGATTATTAAAGCGCTCATGGTCTAAATTTATGAGTTAAAAAGTTACTATTGAAAGTCTTTAAACAAATTTTCATTACATATACTTAGAATAATAATTTTTAATTATGAACTTTACATAAAATAAAAAAAAATATATCACCGTTTATAAAATTTCTAAAAATGTGTCTGAAATGTATTTGCATTTTGTCCTTTAGTTCTCATAACGTCCCTTGATTTGGAAAACACAGCTACTTCCCTTTAAAAAACCATTAAATCGGGGGGAGAAAGAATTGACTTTTTATTACTTTGTTTTAGTGTTAGAAAAAAAATTACATAATTAGCGGGGATTGATTAAGTGCAATGTTGTAGGTATTTTTAATACTGCCTTTTATTTATTCTATACACTGAACTTACTGTTTACTAATCATTTTTTTAAATCAATAACAGTTAATGAGCCAGGTCCTATATGTCCTATATGTTTATTTCTTTCCGTTTACGGATAAGCTTGGGGTATTAAAATTGTTCATTAAATTGAAACAGGCACGTCCGCCGGCGCCCCACCAGGGTTTAATTTGGCGCCTTGTGCTATCCTGTAAGCGCTATGGTGCATAATTTTGCTTTAAACTGTGTGATAGAGTATGAATAAGAAAGGTTACTTTAGTCTTTAAGTGAATCGAATCCGGGAGTCCTCAGGCGCCCAGACCGAGTGCTATTTAGGGCCCCGGGCATTCCCGTGTTGGGTTTGGCGCCTATGTTCGTTTAAGTGAGTGCAAAAGACTATAAATACGTTGGGATATTATAGTCGTTTATTAAGCTGAAACAGGCGATTTCGCCGGTGACCCAGCATGGTACGATTTGGGTTTGCGTTAGTGGTTGGGTTTGCGTTTTGATTTGGTTCGTTTTCGTTGTTTCTTTTTCCTTTTCGTTTTCGTTTGTGTTTTTTCTATGTGTTTGTGTTTGTATTTGTGTTAGTGTTTGTGGTTGGTTTTGTGTTTTCGTTTGTGTTTGTGGTTGGGTTTGAGTTTGTGTTTGTGATATCGTTTGTATTAGTGTTTATGTTATGTTTCCTTTCTTTAGTTTTGTTTTGGTTTTGGTTGGTTGTAGTTAGGATGGGCAATGCCGGGTATATCCCGATTATTAAACATACATGTCATGTTTCTTTAGAGATAGGTTTCAGAATACTCTTTTATAGATACCTGCACCAAATTAAGAGAATATTTACAATTATAATATAGACGTCATGGTTTGTGTTATGTGGTGTTTGTGTGTGTTGTGTTTTTGTTTTTGTTTGTGTTGTGTTTTGTTTGTGTTGTGTTTGTGTTGGTGTTGTGGTTGTGTTGTGTTTGTGTTGTGTTGTGTTTGTTTGTGTTATGTTCACGGTTCTTTTTTTGTGTTTTGGTTTTGGTTGGTTGTGGTAAGTGCGGGCAATGCCGGGTACATGCTGATTGCAACAACACACATGTCAAGGTCCTATACTGATAGGTTTTTCACAGAGGCCAGAGCAGGGCATGATCGGGACGGCTAGTATATATAATATATGTACATGTATATTTTTTTTTATTAATTAATTAATTAATTAATATAATTTGTATCATTTCTACCTTTGTCAAGTGTAACAGAAATCGGCGTTTGAGAAATTTCTGTTTCGGAATGATAGCGTGTATTTGTAAAACACGAATCTGTAAAAAAAATACATTTTAGATAGTTTATTAAAATCTAGAGTAATTTTTATGTATATGTATATGTATATGTATATAAATATATATATATATATATATATATATATATATGTGTGTGTGTGTGTGCGTTTATATGTATACATGTTTTGCATCTAATTGTATAATAAAACATGTTAGTTTCTAAGTTTCAAATAGACAATTAAATTGTAATTATTTTTTTTTACACTTAATAAACATAAATGTACTTACCTAAGCCAGTGATTATGTTCTTAACAACTTCATTATCTTTGTTATCATTATAAAACCAACAAATCATCTGTGAAAACATATTTCATTGTTCCTTTAAATCATTAATATGTTTATACAATTGTATATTGTAACAATAATTATAAAGTTTACTTTAAATTTTGCAAAATATTTTTAAGCGTTTTTAGTTTATATTTAAATTTCTAGCTTTTTTTTTTTTTTATCTAAAGGTTTATTATTATTCGAAATATTTTCATATTCTTTCACTAACCAGCGGATGCTTAAAGTCAAACGGTTTAGTGATGAATTCTATTGGCACAGCAAATGTTTTGTTTTTCTGTTGTGCCTCATTTGATTCGTGGCTTGGTAATTGAATAGGATGTGTGTCTTCGTGAGAAGAGACGTCAGTAGTATCTTGTACATCTGTACTTGAAGACTCGTAATTTTCATGTGCTTGATTGTCGATAACAAATGTTTCCTCACATGGGATGACAGTAATCTAATAGAATTAAACAAAATATACAAAGAATTAAAAAGATGTGTGAACTTATTTTGAATAATAAATATAGTAGATATAAATTGAAAAGTCACAGTTCAAAGCAACTTTTATTGATAAATAAAAATCTTTAAAGTTTTAAACTTGTTTAGAATAAAATATAAAATCCATGGAATGTGTTATTTATTATGTCGCTTAATATTAGAGACCTCATTTTCGGCTGCATAAGCCAAGAAAACTTTACTTGGGGAATTAGGCGAGACTTTGTTCCAATTGCGAAATCTGTTAAACGCCCGGCTGAAATGATAAAATAAATGATGTAAAGGTTTTAAAATATTACCGCAATTGGAAAAATAAGGCCAAAGATTCATCTGTTACATATAAATGTATTTCGAGTAATAAAAAAAATTGAAACTAAATACCAAACTGGTTTCACTTTCAACAGTAATTGTATATGGGTTTTTTTTAAACAAATCTTATAATTTAATTTTTTTAATACTATATTGTTAAATGTAATATAACATTTTAATTATATTAAAGTAAAAGAACTATTTTTACTTTTGAATATATTGAGTTTTATTCTTTTACTGTTAGTATAGGATTAATCAAATGGTATGAATGTCTTTCATTTTTAAAATTATTTGTTATAATCATTTTATTTATAAAAATTAGATGATAATATTTTTTTTGTCACAAACATTTCAATGTGGTATAATACTTCTATTTTTAACTAATAGTTGTTAACTTCAAATCCGAATATATATATATTCTACTTTTTGTGTTAATATAATATATTTGTGTATAAAATTTAATGTGATTTTTAATTTTAAATATATTAACATTTTTGACAATAATTTATAAATTATATATGCGCAGCTAAACAAAAGACAATATAGTTCAATAGTTTCACAAGTGACTGTCTTATTCGCAGATTTTATAACTTAGTTACAATCAACATACGCAATTTTCAAGCAACAAAACTATCTAACTCACCTCATTTTAACACGGTTAATTGAGAAAATTCCGAAAACAACAATCTCCCATCTTATGAATAAAGCTTTATCATATGTGGTGATATATTATTGAGTTACGTTACCTGAGAACATAATTTAGTTAGTACACTAGATTCGATAAAAAACCTAAGTATATATATATATATATATATATATATATATATATATATATATATATATATATATATATATATATATATACAAACATAATACATGTGTGTATATGTATATATATACATATATATATATATATATATAAATATATATATATATATATATATATACACAAATGTATATATATTTATGTAAATATATATACATATACATCTATATATATATATATATATATATATATATATATATATATATATATATATATATATATATATATATATATATATATATATATATATATATATATATAATGCCTAAGAGAGTCAATTGCACAAATGCCGTTTTCCAGACCAAAAGCTGAGAGAGCAAAATGTCTGTCAAGCTCGACTTTGAAGTAAGCACGTAAGCAATGCGTAAGTTAGTTTCGAAACCTACTTCCATTTCCTAGAATGTATTGATTCGTTTTTTTTCTTTCAGGTAGCAGCAGCCTTCATGATCGAACTTGTCTATCATGTGCCCTTGAGAATAAATGTACCAATCGATACGTCAGGATCGGGCAGTGCAGAATCATTCATAAGTTGCCGTGGAGTGTATTGGAGGCCTTTGGGCTATAGTAGAAGCTGCTAAAAATGTTACAGATGTAAGCATGAATGAACAACAGAGAAAGCTTAAACAATCGCGACGTTTTTATTTGGGATTCGTTGCTCGGGGATCATTGTCAGATAGAGATTGGATGATGGTTGAGGGGGGGGGGGGGGGCGTGGTGGGTGTGGGTGGGGGTGGAAATGATGGTTCGAATGTTTTAATTTAATGAGGGGGGTAAGGCTCATAAGGCGCATGAGGTATGGTGACGTGTATTAATGTTCCTACCAGCAGTCAAATATTAATGGTAACTCCAAATGAATTAGAAAAAGTAAAACTATTTTAAACAAAGCACAAAATAAACTAGGATGAAGAAAGCTGTGACTAAGCAATCAGGCGCATACTAAAGGTGTGATTGAGTGATAGATAAGGGAGGGGGGGGAGAGCAATTGTGTACGTTGTTTTGCCAACTAATAGTTGTTAAATGAATAACATTGTTATTAAAATCTAAAAACCTGAACGTTTGAATACTACAAAGTTTTTAAGCATACGAGATTAAATAACAGTTCCATTATACTCAGCTTCCCAACCCCCCTCCCCCCCCACCCACCCCACTTCCCATCCTCACCCTTTGCCAGATGAAGTGGAAAAAAGTATTTCCGATGTAAACAAACTATTCACACTCTAACTATTGTGCATGCCCTCTCCCCCCTGTAAGTTTTAAGTCCCATCCGGGAGAAAAATATCTCAAAGAAATATGACGATATGATTTCCAAATTTGGTTTCTTTTTTGCAACTTCTTCAACCAAAGTTAGTACCAGATGTATTGCTTAACATTAACTTGAGCTATTACGGTAAGTGTGATGAGAAAAATGATGTAGCATGATCTTTTCATCTAATGCCTTTACGCCTATAATTAAAGTGTTTACCTATTTGGATGCGTAAATTGTCTCCAAAACAAAAAGAAACCTCATATCTCATCAGTTATAATGTTTGAACAGCTGTTGAAAGGTGGACGGCGAGGCCAAGCGGTAGAGCGCTAGACTGCTAACCCGAAAATTTCGCGCTCATATCTGGTTTCAGGTAAGCGGACGTCCATGAGCTAACCCAGCTCTGATGGGTACCTAACTCAAGTAAGGGAAATTAAAGGTGGCTGGGGATAGTGCTGACAAACTTATCCCTTCATGTGCCGAGATCAAGAAACATATGAACTCTACTTCATCTGCCCGATGGATCACTTGGCCTAAAGATGAACATTATTTATAGTAAACAAGCTACATGTAAACGATAATTAACATGCATTATAAAATGCGCCCTAGAATGCAAGTATAGAAGTGTAACTAAAATAACCTTGAGGTGGCTGTATTGATTTCGATTTTAAAAAGTCGATATCTTTCAAAAGAAAAATAATCGTTAAATAACAAACATTCCAATTTAAGTCTAGTATTGAAAAATTCACTTAAGCGAAAATCATTAAGTATTGTGCAAACATCGTGTTTATTGGTTTCTAGTGTTAATCATTTAAAAAAAAAAGTTATTAACAAACTAGATGTTTATATGTGGTTTCTAGTATTGAAACAAAATTAAGAGCAATGGAATATGATTGTATACTTTTTTGTACTTTATTTGAGCGTCACTTATAAACACAATCAAATACCACTATAGACATCGTTGTAATGTGTATCATTGTGTAGCGACTTTGAGCATCCGTCAGATTCTAAAAACGTTGTTGGCTAAAAAAGTACATAACAGCGAGACTATGGATATTTTAAAATAATGAAAACAAAAACATAATAATTTTCACTATAACAAAACAGAAAAGAATAATTAGTCAGTTTAAAAAATGAACCTTATTTAAATAACTATATTATAAAAATAAATTCATTTTTTATTTAATTAATTACAATTTAGGATAGACACATGTGTTATAAAATGTTGCGTGTTATATATATATATATATATATATATATATATATATATATATATATATATATATATATATATATATATATATATAATGGAATCGCATACGCTCTAAAAGTGTCAGGTGCATTAGTAAAGTAAAGTTTCCCTTTCAAACCTGACGGTCTATGGGGCATGTGAAGTAGAGTTCATTTGTTTCTGTGACCTCGGCATATGAAGAGTGCATAGAGTTCTATAAAATAAAGCCAAGCTCCTAACATTCGTAAATTTTATAGGTTGATGATCATCGATTTATTTATGCCTGCCCGTTCTAGCTGGAATCTAGCGTGACCGTACATGCTTACCTTTCTTCAATGAGACCTTGAGCAAAAAAAAAAAATCAATCAATCAATACAGTGAGATCACGCGAGTTACATTTTACTTCATCATTTTATTTCCTTTCCAAATGTTATGAAGTTTTCACATTCAATTACGATTATGTAATCAGGCGGATTTATTTATTATTTTAAAATACAATTTCAGGTTCAAGTATTAATTTCAGGTACCATTAGACTTATTTCGGTTAAAACTAAACGTTATATTATATGTAATATTCTGTATTAGGTCAAACAACCTGTTCAAGTTTATTTTCAAATAATGTAAGAAGGTAAATCCAATAGAGAAATAGGGGTCTCATCAAGCAATTGTTGTCCTGACCATGTTTTTCTAAAAAGTTATGTTATCATTGTCCTTTAATTGGAGATTTCTTTTGAAATGGAAGTTGTCTCAAGCCGATTTATAAAAGAAGATGGTGTATGGGATACCATTTTGCAATTGCCCATTTTCTAAAAGAATATTTCTTTCAACTCTACAACACAAAAAAAAACCGACGATTTAAAAAAAAATAATTAAAACTTGATATGTATTTAATTTTTCAATATATTTGTTACTATTTGTTTTAGTGTTCTATTTGAGGTATCCCCTGAGGCTCCACCCCTTCCTCCTAACTACATCTCGGGATACAGAGAGACTCGGTTTCACTTTGCCTTGCAGCGAGCTGTTAGAAACCAATTTTGTTTTTAATCAGTTCACTCTTCCTTCAAATATACTATCATTCTTTAGTCTATAGATTATCAAATTAAAAACTGCATGAAGATAAGATGTCACAAATCTGTACAAAGCCAGACGTTGCAATTATTTCAAGACGCTCTTTTCTCACCCTTAACCTTCAAGATATTTTAGCTCAGGTCGATAATATTGACTACATTTTTTAATTAATTGAATATCTAGGGCTTGATGAGTTAAACATTCAAAATGCTTTGCGCATTGTAGGAAACAATTATATATATATATATATATATATATATATATATATATACTATTTCAAGGATTAAGTACCACACACACACACACACATTGACCCCTGGGCATGAATTGATCTTTCACGCATGATAGGACACGTTTTTTTTTTCCTGGATAATGTTTAGTAGGTCATACGTTCCTTGAAACTATAATCGATACCACGGATCGAACTTCGAGCAGTTCTATACATATTAAATAATTTATTGTTACACAAACAAAGTTCAGAAAGAAACGGCAACAAATCTAACACAAGCTTTGTCAACAAACATAAGGCGTGTATTTGTAGTCAATAAAATAAGTTACCATCGATAACGTCATGGGTAAGAATATAAAAAAACAAACTTCTGAATTATCGATTATTTTTCAGATTTACTCTTTCTGCTTTAGTTTAGAGTTATTTTAAGTCGAGTTAGAATTCGCTTGCAATTTCGAGTTAACAAGCGTGTTTTTGCAGAGAGATTACGCTGTTCCAAATATGATACTAAATAGCCTACTTGATGAATTTTACATACACAATATTTAAATCTAACTATATTGCATCTATATATATATAATTCTCTTCTTGGAGACGTTAGAAAACAAGCTGTAAGCGCGCTCCCTACCACCCCCACTCCTACATGGTCTAGTGAGCTGTGGTTCACGCTAAATGTTTACAATCGTAGAGCAGGGTTTAGTGACGTCTATTACGGGCAGATAATTTAGTTTGAAACTATTTTAAACTTAGGGGAAGTAAATAAGAGGAGGCTGCTTTCAGGGGTGTGGGGGTAGGGGTCGGGGAAAGGAAGGGGAGGGTTATCGTCCTTAAAGACCTACTAAAAGTGTTTTAAAGCAAATATATTCAGTGGCAGCATTGGTACTGTCGAATTCACAAATTATGAATTACTGAAAAGAAGAAAATAAAACAACTAAATAGCGGCGTATGATACACCGTTGGTCGGCTTATTGTAGTTATTTGAATTACTAGACTGTACCGTAGTTACGCGTTATTTGGCCGAAATGAAAAGTCAATCCAGTCCTTTTCAGCTCTCCGGTCAAGATTTCGCTCATCTACACCTGCGGCGCTTTAGCAGTTATCACACGTCGATCCATATAAACAAACACATAGCACGAACCAATGTCTTATTAACAGAAACATACGGTGTCCGGTCAAAAACCCCCTGGACAAAAACTCCCTGGACATAAACCCCCCGACATAAACCCCCTGGACAAAAACCCCTCGCGACATACACCCCCTGGACAAAAAACCCCGCGACATAAACCCCCTGGACAAAAACCCCCCGCGATATAAACCCCCCGGATAATAACCCCCGGACTGAGGTTTATATAAAGAAAAAATAACGATGATGTGAACCAAGAAATTAAAAAAAATTACATTCAATTAATTTAATTTTTTTACGACTAAGAAAATAGTTTCTACCTAAAAAAATGCTTTTCGAAATCAAGGAGTGACCTTAGTTGTATTTGATCAAAGATCGGGCACCGACAACACCTTAGATATAGGTCATCGACATGTGGGAGCCGTGCGGATCAAAGCAACACATTCTTAACAATTCAAAAGATGT